ATAATTTCAATAAGTGATAGTCTAGGGGTAGGGGTGTACATGGACCCGGTTGGTTCGGTTTTTATTAAAACCAAACCAAACCAACTATATCGGTTTAGATTGGTTCGGTTTTGTCGGATTTTTCGGATTTTCGGGATTTTTTGTTACAGGAATACAATGTCAATCTTACTTTGTTAATTTTTTATAAGTAAATATATCTTTAATAAAAATTTAAAAATTATAAAACATATAATCTATTAAGATATTCTTATGAGAGAATATTTTTAGTAACATGATACTTGTTTTTTTAGTTATCTGATAATAATTTTTCGTTGATGTATACTTTCAAGGTTAACCGAATTTAATAATTAAATATAAATCTAAATAATTATATGTTCTATTTAATTTTCAATTATCGAAATACCACTTCAAATACGAAAAAGATATAAGAATTTAATAGATCTTGACATATGAATAAGGAAGAACAAAGAGATTATCGTATTTCAATAACACTTGATAAGAAAATGAACATACAACATATTATTTAAAGTTAATAAAAAATGGAGTACTTCATATCCTATTAAATATTACATCCCGTAAGAGAATCTCAAATATTTCTAGATAATTTTTAAAGTAAACTCTATATAAAGTCTTAAAAATATATATAGAAATCATATATTTATATGTCGGTTTGGTTCGGATTTTTTTAATCTATACCAAACTAAATCAAACCAAACCTAGTCTGGTTTTTTAATCGATTTGGTTTGACTTTTCGGTTTGGTGCGGTTTTTCGGTTCGGTTTGTACACCCAAGTGATACTATCTTTTGGATGCTATCTTTAGTAGATGCTAGATGCTATAGAAATATCCCCATAAGTGATACTAGTATGTAATAGTAGTATATTTTGTATAACCTTGTTTTCAGTAGTAATAAAAATATCTTTTGGGAAGAAAAAAAAAACCGTTATCCTTATCTTTGCGTCTTTTCTTCAGCAAAGATGTCCAACACGAAACCTTTGAAATCACTCCCTTTTTCTAATACACGTATGCACTTGGCAGAAAAATTCAATAACTCATGATGCCTACAAAGTATTTGTTGCGTTTGGAAATTAATTCGTTCGGAAGTTTTTATGCAAAATGATTTCGAAGAGTAGCTGTTTCAAGAAGTTCCGTTGCATTCTGTAAAAAAGTTATCTATCTATATATAAAAAGAGAAGTAAAACATTTATACGATGCCAAATGATATAACCATTGATAAGATTTTTAAATTTGAATGGGAATGAATTTTAAATTAAAATGAAGTTCCAACTTCTTAACCTCTTATATATGGTCCTTCAGTTACACATAAAATTAAGTAAATAAATAATACTAAAAAATATTATTGAATAAATTTAAATATCGAGTAGTTTCAAGTTGGAGTTTTAAAATTACTTTAAACAAAAAAAATAAAAATAAAAAAATAAAAAACTTTCAATTCAAATTTGCGAGTAATTTCTTCCTTATATGATAGACTATATCTATAACAATATCTATTTATATATAAAAAGAAAAGTAAAACATTTATATAATGCCAAGTGGCAAACCATTGATAAGATTTTTAAATTTAAATGTGAATGAATTTTAAATTAAAATAAAGTTCCAACTTCTTAACCTCTTATATATGGCCCTTCACTTACACATAAAATTAAGTAAATAAATAATACTCGAAAATCTTTTTGATAATCTAAATATCGAAATAATTAGAAGAAAATCATACAGGATAAAGTCAAGTTAAATTTCAAGATTAATATAAAATTATATTTATTATATTATATTAAACTGATGATTTATTAGTAAATTATAGTCAATTTAAGAATATTAAATAATGGATAATGCAATTAGATAAGGAAGTAACAAAAAAATAATATAAAATTATGGAAAAATATAAAAATATAGCACTTGTAATTAGAATTATGATGAGAAAAGTCGTATATATGCACATAACTAAAATCATAATAAATAAATAGTTATAAATGATGAATATTAAAATAAAAAAATTCAAGCGATAGCGTAAAAATGTATAGACTCATTAAATTTCTCAGAAAATTTAGTTAACAAATAGAACTCATAATTTCATGATGAAAAATATAAAGATATTATTATGATATTATATATATATATAAATATTGGTAGGTTTTTTATAAAAATAATAAAATGCTTATCTCTTTATACTTTTGATGAATTCAAAATTAAAATTTAGTAAAAATATTACATTATTTAAATTTTTGGTAAACTACAAAATAAGAAAACTAATAAAATATTACAGTAGAAAAATGTATGAAAAGAAAGGGATAAAGATAATTTTATGATATTTATATTTTGAATTGATTAAAAAATAAAAGATAAATAAATAACACTCAAAACAATTATCAATAAATTTAAACAAGTGAAGAATTTTGAACAGTATAACATAAGTTTTTTAAAAATATATTTCAAGAGTAAGAGAATATATATTTATATATATATATATATATATATGTTATATTAAAAAAATTATATCAAAATATTAAGTCAAAATGACAAGTTAATAAAAAGTTACATTAGTAAATATATAGTACTAAGTACTTGCTAATTTGATAATAAGAATAAATAAGAAACAATAATTTATTTGATACTATATGATGTGTATCCTTTGATTTTGTATAGATTTTATTATATTTCTGCACACTATATTAAATAATAAAATATAACTAATATTTATTAAAATAATATGATGTATTAGATCATAATTTTATAAGATTAATATTCTGTCAAATTATCCACGCATCGCGCGGGTCTAACACTAGTTTATAATAATGCGTTAAGCCTTTCTTAGAGGCCCTTAAAATAATTTTTGTTTGGAAAAATGACATTGCATAATCGTTCTTAAAATAATAGCCGAAAGAATATATATTTCTTTTATATATATACATTTCTGTATGTTATATACAAAATAAAATATGCAAATATAATATACTTTTGCGGCTACGGCTAAAAGTAATTTTTGCCCTTCTTGTTTTGGTTAAAAACGAACATCACAAAGCAAATTTTCTTATGAATTACTAAATTAGAGACGTTCGTTGGAAATAGACCTCACGACTATATTCCCTGTAAATATCACGAAATTATTCCTTGTAGATAAATCTGGATGCTACTTTAAGGTGGTACCATAAGTGCTTACTTATATAAGATGTTTAACAATAACAACAAACCCAGTATAATCTCATAAATTGTGTCCGGAGAAGGTAATGTATATGCAAATCTTACCCCTACCTTGAGAAGGTAGATAGTATGTTTACCGACAGACCCTTGACCCATACCAGGTGTTTACACCCAACTGAATAATTAACCTTAAGAAGCAAAAAACCAAAGTGAAAATACATATCACTTAATCCTAATTAAGTGTTAAAAAGTGTATATTCAAGACATATATTTCATATTTATTGATCTGGAGAAAACACTCGGTCCGGGTAAACTTTTACCTGTTTAAGTCGAGTATAGTTTTTCTTTTGTAACTACAGTCTCGGTAGATATCCCAATTTCGTTCCATTTTTAATGAATCCCATCGTTCCTTGAATGTCATTCCAATGAAATGTATGGGCATTGTTGACCTCAAACAGAGCTCTGCATGTTTAAGCGTTTGTACTAAATAATTAGAAATGTTCGAGAAATTGTTCTTGTTGCAGTTTGATACAAAGTACTATTATGAAGTGGGGTTAGGAAATACAACTAGACAGTTTTGGTTTGTAACTCCTCCAAAACCTGGACCTGATGTTCCTTATACATTTGGTCTCATTGGTAATGTCCCAATTACTACTTACATTTCGTTTAATTCTGGTGGGTGAATCGTTAAATGTTCTTTCAAATCACTTACATTTTTTGGACCAGGTCCCTCGAGATGTTGATGCCATATTTCCTTCATTTAAGGGCATGTAGCTTGGACTTACATTAGTCTAGTCTCTAGACTCATTCTGTTTATTGAGTAGATCTTGGTGAGACCTATGACTCCAATAGCACTCTTGACTCATTATGAGTTTGAGCCCTCTAAATGTCCAGACATTACTCTTTGTTGAGACCTCTCTTATGCTGATTATTATCCATTTAATAACAACATGCGACGGGACACATGGGGGAGATTTATCAAGATAAGTGCAGCATATCAGCCTTGGATTTATACCGCCGGAAATCATGAACTTGATTTTGTTCGCATCCTAGTCATACGTATTCTGAGGAAATCAAGAAGGATTAGCTACAGAGTATGCTCCAAATACAAAGCATTATTTAGCTAGTCAAGTTAAATGAGAATAGCTTAAGATTGAAAATCATAGAGAAGAGACGATCTTATATCTTACCTAATGCCTTCATTTGCTGCAGGATGACACAGCCACAGCCACAGCCAAGCTATTCTGCCTATCGGGAAGCAAGCTTCAGTCACGGGATATTGGATATCAGAACAGAACTTATGCATATTTCAGTTGGCATCGTAACAATCATGGATTTTCTGTTAAAATGAGATTGCCCCATTACAGCGTTACTCGGAACAGCATCAGAGAGCTAGAAAGTTATCGATGATGAGGCGGTAATTGTGAGCAGCACTATAGATCCCCTCTACTTTGGTGGTAATGGTATCAAAGAATGTTTTCAATATTACGTTACTCTTGGAAAGTATGACAGAATGATGCTCTCTCAGCTTTTCATTTACAGTATGGCTATTTAGTCGGACTGGATAGGTGACTATATATACAATGGTAATTATCAAAAGTTTCTCATGAATTGCTAGGCTAGCAAATTGATGATTTTTCCTGATTGATGCAAAACTATCACAGAAAATCATTCTAGACTAGCAAAGTTCATTGTGGAATTTCATCGAACACACCTGAAGTGCAGAAGTTCATTCATTGCACACGGGACACCAACCCCCAAAACATCCCTTTAATTCATTCAATCACAGAAACAAAACCCAATTCATCTAAAAAAAAACCATGAATAACATTGTAACAAACATTAAAGCCTCCACAACCATAGCTTCTCAAAATCAATTCAACTTACTCAATTGAAAATTTAGCAATACGATACTACATCAAGACTCTAGATCAAACAATTGACAGAATATAAGAAATTTTTGTTGCCTATTAGTAATAGGTACTATATTGATTAACAAGAGAAAATAAATGAAAGAGTTAAGGAGCATCTCTAAAATACTTTCAAAATTGAAAGCTTAACAACAAGAAAACTAAAACAGTAAAATTAATACTAAAAAAGCTTCTCCTTCATTACTTCTTCTCCACATCTTACTACTTGTGTCTCATTAAAGATACCAAGTCTCACGCAGGTGTAAGACACAAGTTAACACGGTCAAAATGAAAAAGAAAATGGGGATGGCCAGGTAACCACATGACGCATTGCAGCGATTACCATTAGCTGGAAGATCTGTACCTAATTTGAATGATACTAATATAATGGAAACAGAAGTTAGGAACCCAAAAATTATATTTAAACAATTGTAGACGCGCGCACTGGGAGGATAGTCAGGACCCTCCTCTTCTGAAGCACAACAACGACAGTCCCCGTCCCTCGGATCAGCTAAGCGAACGCAGCAGTTGCGGTTTTCGTCGTTCTCCTCCATAGCTTCTGGGTCTTCGTCGTTCCCCTCCATAGCTTCTGGGTTTTCGTCCTTCCCCTCCATAGCTTCCGGATTTTCGTCGTTCCCCTCCATAGCTTCTGGGTTTTCGTCGTTCCCCTACATAGCTTCTGCTTGAATTCTGTCGTACAAAAAATGGGGCGNGCCGTCCCGCGGATCCGCCAAGCGAACGCAGCAGTTACGGTTTTCGTCGTTCCCCTCCATAGCTTCTGCTTGAATTCTGTCGTACAAAAATGGGGTGATGGAGTTGGTTTAAAAAAAGACTTGCGGAAGCTAGAGGCTTAATTGCAATAGACCTCTCAGCTGAGACGGATTCTCACAAACGACGCAGTTTGGTCGAATGTTCTAGAAAGAGTTTTACTAAGGCTAACCATTTTGTATGTTCGTATATATCGAGTGTTCTTTGTTTTTTGTTATTTTCCTATAAGTAAAAGTAAATTTTTCTATCTCTAAAATGTCATATTATTATTTTATGCCAGCGCATTAAATATATTCACCCATTTTTTCTAGAGAAATTCCAAGCTCATTGGTTATTTTGGTCCTTCTAGTTGTTTCCTGTCTCATGGTATCTCAAGGTTATTTTAATACCTTTCGTAGGTATGCTTAATGTGTTGTAATTTTAATTTTTATACAGTAACAATAGCGTAAATTAAATTGAAATCTTTGATCAATAAATTTTAATGCAAAAAACACAAGCAGGGAGAGAGATGACCTGTTCTGGCGGAATGAGCTTGTGAGCGTAGCAGTCATCAGATATTTCACCATTTTGGTGAGTCCTTTCCTGTGTCATGGAAAAGTAAAGAGAAAGAGAATAGAAAATTGGCAGACTTGGATCTTGTGAGAGAGAGTGAGTGTTCGGAAAAGAAAAAGGAAAAAGAAATTTAAAAGCAAAGATGTAATTGTTTTTTTTTCCAAAGAGTCCCACGGGTAGTTCATCGGGAATCTTACAATAATGTCTCAAATAAGTTTTAATTTACCAAACTCTAGCTATTAATTATAAACTTATCAAAAACTAGTTAAGCATATATAAAAATTAAAAATTCAAATAAATAAGGATTCTTTCTCTCCAAGAATCACACGCAAAGATCNAAAATATATAGACGAGTAAATATATAAAATTTGAGAAAGATTGGAGGTGATTGGACTGATTTGGCATCAAAATTCGTAGATAAATCGAGTTCAAAAAAATTCTTCTGCGACACATTTATTAAACATGTATCACACATGTATCTCACACACAGGAAGCCGTATACATGGATATACATGAGATACTTATTTGATAAAAAATATAATACATATGTAATACACAAATGATACATAGTGTGATACACATATCATTTTTTTTCATGTTCATTTTCTATTGCGAATTTTCAATTCAAACCAGTTCAAAACTTTGCAAAAATCATCCCAAAACTGAAATTTAAGTTCCTTAAGATGTATCTAATCGATTCCAACAACGCACTCAAAATAAAAGCAAAAACTTGATATTTTTTTGCTACAAATAACCAATTGCCTAATATTAATAGTATTTTATGAATTAATTAATTTTTGTACTAACTTATTTATGGTTGACATAACTTGCAATTTCCCTAATTCATTCTCTTCGGAGTATTAAATTTGGGTTGCTTGAATGGAAGTCGACTTGTGCATATTCTTGAACTAACCCGGGGGGAATACGTATAATAGCCACGCGGGAACTCCTGTCTGGAGGCAAAAATGGGGAAAATATCGCTTTTAGCTGAAATAACCGGTAATATCCTTAATTCATTCTCTCCAGAGTATTATTATAACGTTGACATATCCTCTTAAATCTTCACCTTCAATCATATACTATTTCTTTAAAATTATTTTACAGTGAATGGAGTAGTAGGTAAAAGTAAAACTAAAGTATATCCTTAGTTTGAAAATTAAAGCCAAGTTGAAAGAGGTATCGAAGACCACATTTAGACGTACCTTTTTAACTTGTTTCTTAAAATTTTTTAAGAGTTATATAAAAACTAAAATGTTGTTGTAAGCATTGTTAGTACAAATTAATACATTATACCTACTGTGCTTGGACTTCGAAACTGAAAAAACAATTCATGTATCAGAATTACTATAAGGCACATGGAGATTTTTGTGGCATAATCAACAACATAAAATCCCACTAGTGGTCTGGGGAGAGTAGAGTGTACGTAGACCTTACCCCTACTCCAAAATAATAGAGAGGCTATTTCCGAGAGACTCTCGGCTCAACAGAAGAGACAATAATATCACAAAAGGAAACAAAAGAAAACAAAAGAAACAAAAGAAAAGACATGTAACAACAAAAGATGCCATAAAGATAATAATAGCAACGTAAGAGATAACAAATAATTGAAAGGACAATAACACAAAACTATGCAAAACAACAATGTGAACACAACAAAGACCGCTAATAGACCTAGACAAAACTCTATGAGACTACCCTACCCAAAGAGGGAATTTTGTGGCATAATTATTTTATTTTATTTTATAGAACTAGCTAAATAGAATCAATATTTATTATTTTTTAAAAAAATCATATTATTTCTTTTAATTTTATTATTCGAGACACTTTGCTTAATAGTATTTATGTGATTTTTATATAGTTTTTACTCATGATACGAGATTCACGCGCAAAACACGTATACTAAGACTAGCCTAGTAGAAAAGCGAAACTAACATTTATCAATAACTTGATGAAGTTTAGATGGTATAGTCTTGCTATTTAACAATTCCATCCACCATAAGTTATCTAACGAGATATAACATGTAAAGAAGAAGCAGGGGCGGAGCTAGCCCTTCGAATACGGGTTCGGCTAAACCTAATAATTTTTGTCCAAATTCTATATTTATTTTTAAAACATATTGAATTATGCATAAATTATTAATGTAGAATTCACTAATTTAAAAGAATTAAAATATTGAACTCATAAATTTTAAATCATGATTTCGCCTATCAGAAGTACGCATCTCTAGATTAACCTTAGTATGCTAATTTAAGCTTTGACCATGCATGTATACTATGTGGAGATTGGTTGTTACACTGATCCAATTTGCAATGCGAATAAATAAAATATACTCGCATTTGTGCACAGACGCAAACTCATGTCGGGTTCATTTGAACCCGATATTTAATATAAATTTATGTGTAAAGATTTATTAAAATAAAAATAAATAGTGCATATAAACTAATAACTTTAAAAATATATAACTTCAATATTAAGAATTTCATTAAAAGTTGAATCCATAAAATTTAAATCCTATAATCCGCCTTTGTGCATGGTGTGCCTACCGGAAGGCCGAAATTAAACTACTCCATTGGTCGACTTCATTATATTTTTATATAAAATTAAAGTATTGTGCATGTATAATGAAGTTTTAGCACAATTTAATCTGTAGACTGTAATGTCATTATCCGGCTAGCTTCAAAGCTGAATCATGCACCAATATCGACTTTATGCTCAATGTGTCACGATCCCAAATTCCCTCCGTAGTATGATGTGATGACATCTAATCTCTAAGACTAGGTAAGGCTATCAATACGGAATAACAATATAAATATAAAATAAATACATCTGCAATTCACAAAATTACATATCCCAAAACCCGATAGAAATAAATCACAAGCTTCTAAGAATTTATCCTCAATGTCTCTATATATCAGAGTCTAAAGAAAATAAGGAAGCAACATAATAAGGATAGAAGGGGACTCCGAAGTCTGCGGACGCTGGCAAATATACCTTGAAATCTCCGTACACCAGTAGTTCACTGATGTCTGGACTGGTAGGATGTACCTAGATCTACACAAAAAGATGTGCAGAAACGTAGTATGAGTACATCACAACGGTACCCAGTAAGTGCCAAGCCTAACCTCGATAGAGTAGTGACGAGGTCAGGTCAGACCCTACTGGAAATAATAAAAGGCGTGATAAAATGTTTAACAATATATAATAAAAGTAAAATGACAATGGAAATGAATCAAGTAGTAAGTCATCATTAAATTACACAAAATAAGGGCAAATAATACCCTGCAGAAAGAAAAAAAACAGAAATTTATAACTTTAAAGAAATCACCAAAATAACCAAAGGCAAATGCAGCCATAAAGAAATATCAACAAGGGCACTTCCGAGGTACCGCCTCGTAATCCTAAATCATAAATAAATTCACAATATCTCATTTTCTTATATCACTGCGGGATCCTTCACAATTTATTTTAAAGAAAATATTTTTTCCGAAATAGCATCCCTCGTTTTAGCCACCCTTATCACACCACATGACTTCTAGTAGTTCCCCTACTAGCCACGCGTATCAAGCCACCCTCACCGCATGCATTTCAACACTTAGACCTTATACCACCGCATGCGTATCAATATCACAATATATCACAATTTGCACCTCAAGTGCTCAATTATTTTAATTTTACCAAAAATGAATCAACAACAACAATATTTTCCACAATAGGGAGCTCACGGCTCAATCACAATGAGTATTAAAAATCTCACAAAATATTCAGGAATGAATAACTCGGCAAAAATAATATTTCACAAATTTGTTTAGCACGTTGCTTCAATACCAGATATAAAATGTTAATTACTTTATATTAATAATAATTCAATTAAGAAAATTCAACTTTCAAATATTGAGCACGGAATAAAAGAAATAAAGTTTCAACTAAACAGGTAAGGCAATTAGCAGGAAAAATGTCAAGCAAATTTTAAAAACATAGAATGGATCAATGATGAAGAATATAATAAAATAAAATAATTTAATTAATACGCAATAGTGATCTACACAATTTAAAGACATAATCTTCCACATTTAGCCTGTATACACACTCGTCATTTCGTGTATACGACTTTCAATACATTATAATTTATCACATCAATATCAATCCTAGGGGAAATCCCCCCCTCCTCCACAAGGTTAGACAAGTCACTTGCCTCAAACCGCGCTCAATTAGTCAAGTAGTATGCCTTTTCCTCGATTTTTCGACTCCGGTCGACTCGAATCTAGTCATAATTAATTCGATACATTCAACAAAAATTATAAAATCTATTCCATGAGAAAATACTACATTTTCCAATACAAACCCGAAATTAACTCAAAATTCGCCCGTGGGGCCCACGTTTCGGAATCCGGCGAAAGTTACGAAATATGAACGCACATTCAACCACGAGTCTAACCATACCAAAATAACTAAATTCCGAAAACAATTCGACCCTCAAATCTATC